ATTTGGGGGTGTAGTTTTCCATGTGTCCAGTGAATGGAGGAAGGCATAGAATTCAATGCAATTTCTCCCCCACTTAGTTGTTAGCATGCTAGTCCAGGTGACCATCATTTTCACTACATCATTTCCCTAGCCTTCTAACTGGCCTTCCTGCTTTGATGTTTGTTCCTGTATAATCAGTTCTCCGTACATCAGTCAATGTGAGCCTTTAAATCCATAAATGAGCTCATGGTACAGTCTGATGTCAATATTCCAATAATTTTCTGCCACAGTTGGTAGAAAATACTTAACACTACAATGACCTATAGAATATGATCCTTTAATACCTCTCCAACCTAATTTCCTGCGACTTGCCTTCTGTGTTGCTGGCTTCAGTTACACGGAGCTTCTTCTTGAACCTGACAAACCTGCTTTGATTTCAGGGTATTTGTTTCTATCTGGCACATTTATCCTACGAATATTCATGTGGCTGTCTTCCTCACTTCAGTCAGGTCTTTGCTCAAAGTCAGCATGCTTAAATGATACACCGTCCCTGTTAGCAGATTCTTCTTCCTTTAGTTTTGCTTGTTTGTTTTTTTTGTTGTTGTTGTTGTTTTGCACATGTCTAGTAAGCTTTCAGTGTGAGATAAGGCTGCAGTTGGATTTCGAGATGGACGAGTTAGCTGGTAAGAAAGATGGAGAAGAGAATCCTAGGTCAGAGGACCAGCCTATGCAAAAGCTCAGTATCAAGAAATGGAATGACACCCTGGAGAAATACAGGTGGCTCGGCCAGAGCAAAGGATGCATGTGGGTGACTGAGAGGAAGCTAGAGAGGAGACAGGGCCATTTGGTAAACATGTAAATATGGTGCCTGCCTATACCCAACTTCTCTCTCCCACGGCTACCAGCACCAAATCCTTCATTGCAAGGTCTCATATTTTATGTCTCCCCCTGAGTCTATTTAAACATTTTTTGTAATATTGTCTTCTATGAAATTTTAATGCCACAGATATACTGTGTATGCTTATGGGCTGTATGTAGATCTGTGTTTTATACATAAATATAATAAGATTTTTCACCTCCTCCTGAGAGCTAATTTTCACTCCCATTGAGAATGCATGGCTTGCAGTTTTCACTGACAGCATTGTTATGTCTCTCCCTCTCTCCCTGTCTCCCTCTCTCCCTCTTTCCCTTTCTTTCTCTCACTCACCCTCAGACATATAATTTCCAGGGAGCATCTTATTATCGCAGAAAATCATATGTATGACAAGAATTGAGCCACTTTTGCATAATAGTAATTAAACTCACATAAGTCATGGTGTGATTTTTCTTTAGCTACTATCAAAGGTTGACAGTGCCTAGCTAATTCTGCCCCACCCCTATACATGGACCTTATTCTATTTGAATGCTTCTTAAGTGGCACTTGAGACTCTGAAACATTCCCAGTCATGTCAGACACCAGACTCTGAGAGTAATTCATTTATTCAGGGTTACTTATCCTCACAGTCGTCCCTGCCCCCAGCCAGGACACAGGGCACAGGAAGGAAGCCAAAGGCCTCGGAGCAACCAGCCTCAATAAGATGCTGTCTATGCAACAAAGCTTGTGATGTTTTGTAAAAATCAGTTCGTTACTCAGCTTCTATTTACATTTACTGCACACACAATCCTATTAAGATTGGCAATCTAAACTCATGATTGACTTGAGGTAGCAAAATAGAAAGAGAAGAAAAGGGCTAATGCAGGCAGGCACATAACAATGAAAAGTAGGGGCTGAGGCAATCTGATAAGTAAAAATACAGGAGTGAAAAACCACACCTAATAATATAAAAAGCACATCAGATGAAAGCCAGTTAGTATAGGCACCAATGGTCTCAGGGATGTCAATTAGCCAAGTATGACTGGTGTTTATAATGGTTTTCTAAATGATTGCCATATTACTTCTTATTTAGGAATATAGACAATGTTAAACTTATTTTCCAAAATTTACAACTAAAATAGAATAACATTTCATTTAACAGAAAATTTAGCTATCTATAAGGACTTATGCACACATGGTAATCAAAGTTCCCATGAAACAAAATATAGACCATGTTCATGTTTTGAATAATGATATATGGTATATGTGAACCTGAAATGGAAAGTTTAAAAGTCGTTTGGTTTCCTTTTTCAAGATTTAGAAAACATCATTCAGTACCACAGGTAGCTATTACACTGGTCAGCACATGCCGCGATGAAAGCTGTCACTAATTCTCCTCGTAGTGATAATGGAAACTCAATGTGTACAGAGATTTACTTATATCATTATATGTAAATGAGTTGACTCAGTGATTGAGCCATGTGGTGTGGCTAGCAGAATTGTGTTCAGGTTAAGCACTTTGTCAAGAAAAATGTTGCCTGCAGAGATAATAAGCCATTAGGATAAATTCACTTCCAATTAATCTAATACGTGAGCATCACTGTGAGAAAAATAAAGCAATGCCTTAGCAGCAGGAGGATTGATGATTGCCATTTGTGGTGCTGAGCATTGGGAGCAAGAATCAAAGAAGATCAATGTGTTGACTATGGTGGGTGCTGGGGAGAGGGTGTAGGTGCAGACACACCCTGAGTCCACAGATTATCTTTCTTAACTAGCAAGCCTGTCTTGCCTGTATTATCAACACAATGAGGTTTATCAATTCAGTCACAAAGGGTGGGCACTTCCCTTTCCTTTTTTTTTTTCTTCTTTTCTTTTCTCTCTTCCTTCCTTCCTTCTTTCTTTTTTCTTTCTTTCTTTTCGTCTTTCTTTCTCTCCTTCTTTCTTTTCTTTTGTTCTGTTCTTTTCTTTTTTCTTTTCTTTTCTTTCCAACCAACCAGGTAGATCGAATTGACTTTTCTCAGGATGGATGTAGTAAGGCAATACCAAAACGATTATATTAGCTGCTCAGGAAAAAAAAATCACCTGAGAGATTTAAAAAAGAAAATTGACCCAAAGCAAAGCTTAAAAAACAGTCTTTCTTAACATAAGGCAACATGGTAAATACCATCAGAGAGCTTCAGGGTTTCATGGGAGAGTGATTATAGGTGGAGAAAAAGGAACAGACCCAAAGGGAAAAGAAGTGCTATTGTTTCTTTTTGCCCACTGTTCATAAGTTGATGTTTCCTCCCCAGACTGCTTTTGAGTCATGAGACTGAGAGAGCCCTGAAGAGCTTCTTTCTTTGGAAGAGATTAAAAGGAAACTTTCGCTGGGCACAGTGGCATGCATCTCTGGCCCCAGCTACTTGGGAGGCTGAGACAGGAGGATCCTTTGAGCCTAGGAGTTTGAGACTGTATTATGTTAGGACCTCAATGGTGAATACCCACTGTACTTCAGCCTGGGAACATAGCAAGACCCTATCTCAAAAAACAAACAAACAAAAACTTTAACAAGAGGAAGGACTGGACTAAATGTTATAATCATGTTGTATTAACAAGAGGCAAACTCACACTGGTTAGGCTGTTTGCCATGACGTTTCCTTTATTTCTATTTTACTATGATCTTTGTAAATAAAAGCTCGAACTTCAAAGATTTTTAAATCTCAAAGAGTCATTCTTGTGTAGACAATCCTTGAATGCCAAGCAGTGAATTTTAAGAGGTAATTCCATGAGTTAATGTTTTGAAAATATAGAATTTGAGGCTATTTGCTATGTTCATTTTTCTTCAAACTTTCTTCTTCCTGATTTTCATGGCACCAATTTCTGGTTTTTCTCTACCTCTCTGACTACTTGCACTTCTTAATTTTACCAGTTCCTCATCAGAGCCCACCTCAGTGTATTTAATATTTCCCATGCTTATGTCTTTGTCAACTCTTCTTACCCTAAATACTCTGTCTTGGAGGTTCAGCTTTATTTCATGGGTTGAACTATTATTCCTATTCTATAAGAATTCTATGTGCAAAGAAAAGAAGCTTTCCAAAGGATATTCCTTACACTAACAGTCCCCAGTTACAAGAGAAACTGGAAATGAAATATCCCCCTTATGACATTCTATAATATAAAAATTCTACAATAGTTTGTATTTCTATTCCTCTTTTTCTAGACAGCATTTTATTTACTCTTTGTTCAACTGTGCTATAAATGAGTTCAGAGAGAAGACAGAACCTATAAACCCTCTCTGTCATGATGGATGACCTGCCAAAGTCCAGTATACAGAGTTACGCTCAGGGGGATACCATAGTAGAACCACATAGCAATGTCATCTGGTCTTTATTTAGATGATACTACTTCATTATTTTTTACATTCAGAATCCACCTTATTTTTTTTTTGATCCCTGAAACTAAAGACTTAACACACTTGAAATACTAAAGTTCATAAAACTTTTACAATATATCATGTAAACATGTAAACATACAAAAATAGGAGCTCAGTGGACGAACTAGGAAGGCCCAGACTTTTCTGATCTGCTTACTGGTCCCAGATGGTCATTCAGTGCCTGGATCCTGGCAATTCGTGGGGTGGAGTCCTCCTAGACCTGCCTATCTTTGCCACCCTAGGTGATCCCTGTCAAACACAAGACCTGATTATCTTTCAAGCACCAGGACCGTGAATATGAGCTGCAGAGGGGACAGCTGGCACCTGCTGGCTGCCAGCACCAGGTCGGAATTCCTGTCCCCATCAGGCTCCCAGGGACTTGGAGCCTGAGGTTCTGCCTCTCACACACCCCGCCCTCTGGATGGGATTTAACCCACCTTCACCCACACCCCACCCCTTACATTAGTTACTTGTGGAAATTATATACTTGGTGGAGAGGAGGAGTGAAAAGGGAAGAGAGAAGATGAGAGAATAAGAGAAAAAAATACAACAAAGATAAAGACTTAGGAGAGAGGAAAAAAGGGGAAGCTAAATCCAAACATTTTCCTCAGATTTTTTCAAATAATCCTTTCTCTTGTTTGATAACTTGGAGGATTTTTTAAAACAACTATTGAGTTTCTTGTTTGATTGGGTTGGTGTATTTGTTTATTTTGTTTTTAGTTTTGAATTGCTTTCTTTTATTTCATTTTGTTACAGGACTGCAGGAAGCATTCCCCGATGCCCCATAGAATGAGATGTCCTTATCTGTGCTCCACTGACATGTGCCTTCAACTCCATCATGGCTCTTATGGCTTGCTTTGTTTGTTTTGCCAGGTGTGTTGTCAATTCAAACCACCAATAAAGCAGGGACTAGACTGTTGTGTGTGTGTTTTTTGTTTATTATGTCATGCATGTCTGGTGAATACCAAGAAATATTTTCTACAATGTAGAAAACCTTGCCCATGAAAATTCTCAATACATAATACATCAAGAAGTAGAGGAAAATGTAAATATCTGAGGGTATGTTGCTTATCTTATATTACAATTCTACTTCTTATGAACATATGGGTATAATTGTGGCTCTATAAAAGACATGCTCAAATTTCTCCTTGATCCTCCTTTTGACATACTCCCTAAATGATAACATATTTGGTTAGCCACTCTACTAAGTAATTAAGAACTGGAGAATGTTTTAAGAGTTAGCGGAACATCTGGGTAGTTGCAAAAATTGATTTTGGCTGAATTTTTAACTGTAGTTTCTCTTTGCTTTTTTCAAGAATGTTTGTTCTAATATGGTCAAACTTGCCTTCCACTTCTACCAAACCTAAATATCAAGGAATTTTACCTAAAGCAGTCTTTTCTTATGTCCCACAGAAACTTAGAAACCTAAACACCAATCTTTTCTGCTTTTCTCCAGCTCATATCTGACTCTTGACATTCATTAATTTCTCCTGCTATAACATTTTAATTCATACATAACTTTGCTGATATCTATAATTTTGCATCACCTTTTAATTCATTCATTCATTCATTCATTCATTCATTCATGTGTTCAATACATATTACTGAATTGCCTTGGCACCACTAAAGATAAAAGATGAATAAGTAATGGTTCCTGCTGTCAAGAAATTTAATATGGAGAAATATACAGCCCATTACAATACAGTGCCATAAGTTCTATTTATTCATTCAAGTGGTTTCTGAGCTTCTACTCTGTCCCAGACACTGTGCAAAGGAGAAGTTGTAGATAGATTGCATACAGAAGGCACATTTGAATGGGGGTAGGGAGATCTTCCAAAAGAGGTGATCCTCATAGTTGGTTCTAAATGATGAGGAGGTTCTAACTAGGAGAGTTGGGGACAGGGCAGCAGGGGAGGAATGGTCATATGGAAAACAGAGCAGCACTGAAAAGTTTTAGAAGCAAGAAAAATGTGCTGAGGGCATTGCAAGCTCTTGGCTGTGGCTAGCCATTAGAGAGGTGGGAATGGAGTGCAGGGTCTGTCATAGCATTCATCAAATATATGTTGAATGAAGGAGTAGAGAGAAATGAGGCTACACAGGCAAGTATGGATGCAGTCTTTCAGGCCATGCTAAGCAGTTTGGACTTCATCCTGACAAGTATAGGGGTCCATTGAAAGAATGGTAGCATGGGTGGAGCTGGGAGTGGGGATAGGAAAGAGGTGTGATCAAGCTTGTATTTTAAATTTCTTGCTTTGGTGTTACTGTCAAAGATAATATAGGCAAGAGTGGACATAGGGAGCCCAGGAATGAGTTTATCACTATCATCTAGATCTTAGTAACCCAAAATGTGGTCGTGGACCAATATCATCATTGAAATTACCCAGGAACTTGTCAGAAATATAGATTCTTAGGCCACACCCAGACCTACTGAGTCAGACTCTGCATTTTAATAAGTTAATCTGGTAATTCAAATTCATATTAAAGTTTCAGATATAGTTATTTAGAATTAATTATTTTAGTGGTAGGAGGGTTAAGAAGAAAAGGAAGATTTGAGAAGTATTTCAGTATTTCACTGTAACACTACACCAGATTTTGCAAATCAATGATGAGGAGAGGAAGATAGGTAGGTAGATATGGTGTTTTTAAGTGGAAGAAAAAGAGGAAGGAGCTTACTGATCTCTTGGGCCTGCCTGCACATTTTAAAAAACTGATTTGTTATCTATTCATAGTAATAATAAAATTGTTAAATAGCCAATCTCTGCTCTAAAAACTATAGCCAAGGAAATGCTTAAAATTGCAACGTAGGAGGTATCACAGAGCCAAAAGATGTCTGCTCAGCTCAGTAGGGTTGCACTTTTTTGGACTACACCTGCCTCAAAATATCTCTTTTCATGGCAACATATTAGGGGCTGAAATAATGCTTTGTCTCAGTTCAGCTTAGAATAAGACAAGCAGATCAGGGAGAAAGAAAGAAAAGGAGGTAGTATAAAAGAGAAAAAGAAACAGAGAGAAAAAACCAACCAAAGCCTTTTCCAAGTCACAGCTATAGCCACCATTTTTTACAGCATGATGGAGAAAAGCAAACCTTCTGGTACATAAAGTTGACAAAAATTCTAAACCTAAATTTTCCTCAAACCTTGAAGGAAATTGATATGATACAGAATGATTTTGAATGCCTACAATGTGCCAGTCACTGCCTTTTAACTGTACATATTTAATCTCATTTATTTCTCCTAATAATCCTGTGACATAGGAATTCTCCCCCCTTCTTATAGTTAAGGAACTTGAATATCAGAGATGTAGAGGTAATTGCCCAAGGCTAACCAGCCATGTGTAACTTCAACCCCATATTTCAACCTAGGAAGTCCCATCTCTTCCTACCATTCACACTGCCTTTGAAAACAAATAACTCTTTGCATTGACAAAAACCTTACAAAGAACTAACATTCCAGTACAGGCAAAGTTGGACATGGACACCATGTGCAGACATACACACACATGCCAAGAAAAGAAGAGGTTGCAAACCAGACAAAGTCAGAAACATTTTCCTTAGCCACAGAACAGCAAATTTCATCAGTTCCTGAGAGAGCAAAGATTAGAAACGTTAATGCCTGGTACATAATGCATATTATTTGAACTTATATATACATAATTGTATTTTATAATTATATGCCACTATCAATCTTGTACATTCAGTCTCAACATTTAACTTATGTTGTCGTTGTATTGTCTCAATGTAATACAAGGCCTTTAATTTAATTAAAGCATGTGAATGCAATTGACAATTATAATCAGGAATTTGGAACCAGACAAAAGTAGAATTATTGCCTTCACAGGGGCTAATTCTTGTCTATGCTGGAAGTTACCAATTCACTTAAATTTTGAGCACATTTTAGGGCAAAGCATCGTGGAAAATACAAAAATCAGTAAACCATGGGTTCTGCCATCAAAGCCCTACTGATCTAGGATGAGAGATACAACATTTTTAGTAATAATAGTGAAAGAATATGTTGAATACCATATGCAAGGCAAAGATAAAATGAGCTAGAAATGTGAGAGTTTCAGTTATTATGGCCATGGAACTGTTATCCCAAGACTTAATGGTGTTCAATGCCTCCTTATTGTACTGTGGTTCAGGAATGGGGACAGGGTACAGCTGGGACAGTTTGTCTCTACTTCATGATGTCTGAGGCCTCAGCTGGATGTCTTAAAGGGCTGGAGTCACCCGAAGGCACATTTGTTTGCATGTGGGCAGTTGATACTGACTGGCAGGGTTGGTAGGCTGGAACAGCTGGGGTTCCTCAGGCATGTCACCCTGTCTTTTTGTGGCCTCTTCACCTGGTCTCTCCAGCTGGACCTGTGCTGTGAGAGAGGAAGTGCCAGGTGGAAGCTGTATGGCCTTTTCTAACCTAGCCTTACTTCAAAGTCACTTCTGCCACATTCTGCTCATTAGAATAAATTCAGTAAGGCCAGACCATGTTTAAAGGAAGGGAAGGGAATTAGATTCTGCATTTTGTGTGAGTAGTATCAAAGATTTGTGTGCATATCTAAACCCACCACACCAGTGCATCAGGGAAAGTTTCGTGGAAGTTCTACCATTTGAGCTGGGTATTGAAAAATGTAATATGAATGAGGAGAGGTGCAATAAATGGGTATAAATACAGGGATCTGCATCCGGGGCAGGTAAACAGTGCATGGACACAAAAACTGGTTACACCGGTGCACTGGGAGTGCAAGAATGAGGCTGAAAACATAGATGGGGGATGAAGATGAGGATCAGGTGCGGCAGGACTCAAATGCCTATATGTGATTCAGCTGGGATTGGAACACTAGCACAGTAGTGGTTTTCAACCTTGCCTGCCATTGGATTCATCTGAGAACCTTTAAAAATACTGATGCCTGGGTCCTACCGTCAGAGATTCAAATTTAGTTGTTCTAACAGGGGTCCTCAAACTTTTTAAACAGGGGGCCAGTTCACTGTCCTTCAGACCCTTGGAGGGCTGTTAGAGAGTGCGGGCGCACATTCCACACATGCGCACTGTGGGCCCTCACGAGTCGGCTGCTAAGCAGGACAGGCAGCAGTGGCAAAAACACCAGGTGGGCCAGGTAAATGCCCTCAGCAGGCCGCACGTGGCCCGTGGGCTGTAGTTTGAGGACCCCTGTGTGGTCTAAACATCAGGGGTTTTGAAGGCTTCCCAGGTGATTCTATTCTTGGCCAAAGTTGAAAACCAGTGCACTAAAGGATTTGGGGGATGGGAGTGACACACAGATCATTTGGTGTTCTCGCTGGGAAAACAGTAAGTAGTTTACGGCAGATCTGTTTTCATTTGTTTGTTTGTTTGTTTGTTTTCTAAAGCCAGACTCCTGAAGACCCTTATGTCTGTTTGAATGGGGCACTATGCAGGTCAGTAACTCTAAATTCATTAGAATGTAGGCTTCTCCTTTTTACCATTTGATGTTATAAATTTAATGTAACCTTGAAGAAAAAACTTACTAGTGTGTGGCATCTCTCCAGAAGCTAGGACTTCTAAGCAGTTAATAGGTCACCAGGATCCCGGCAGATTTGCCTTAATCCTGAAAATGAAGTGCTTATTAAGTAAACTTTATACCTTGTATCTGCTTATGTCAGGAAGATAGCAGGGGTTTTGTGTTTGTTTTTTGCTTTTTTCTAGGACCTATAATATCCTCAGGCATTTTTTAAAAAATCAGAATCACCACTTTTCCCCCATGGTATTAGGGTTCTCCAGAGAAATATGTATTATGAGGAATTGGCTTATGTGATTATGGAGGCTAAGAAGTGCCATGCTCTGCCATGTATAAGCTGGAGACCCAGGAAAGCCAGTGGTATAATTCAGCCCACACCCGAGGACCTGAGAACCAGGGGAACTGATGATGTACATCTCAGTTTGAGGGC